TTTTTATCTACACTAATTGAAGCTATTGCTTGGTATACTTTATTATTGTAGAGATTTGTAATTTGATTATATATTAAATACATGATCATTGCTATAATATCTAACTTATTTTGTATATCAAACTATATCAAGATTTCTTCAAATGCCAGCTCTGAGTTTTTGGTTTATTCTATAACCTGGATTATAGCAAAGAAATCAAGACTAGCATGCCAAGACTCCACTAGTGTATTTAGCATTACTGCATTATTTAGGTTTTATTTGAGGGTATTTTTAAGAGGAAGGGAAAGTGGGAAACTGGGGATAATACCTTTTTTTAATGAATAAAATCCTACTCAAGATTATCTTACTGCTCCATATCACTTGCAGCTAGCCTTTGATTATTTAATTCCTGCCTTCCTATTATAGCTCAGGAATATTCAAGATACTTACAGCTATAGATTTACAACTTACAGTAGTCTTTATGGCTACTTGGGAATACTAGATGCCTTCTTGGAATAAGTGATACAGGGGTGGGCTTCTTACTGGATTAGAATGGAACTTTTGGATAACCTTTTGCAGAAAAGATACCAGATATTATAGGGAGCAATCACCAAACCATCTTGTACTAAACCGGACACCTTATATATCTTACAACTTCCAATGATCATTGTAGCACCAACCAGATGATTGTCACACCATGACCTCTTTTCTGGAAATCACAATCTCAACGTCTATTGGATCAGCATGTGAAATGGTTTCTCATAAGAAACAGTGCTTATACAGATTATGGTACCAGATACTATATTAATTCTATTCAACCGCCTTTACATGGGGTTGAACTGGTATCTTGTAATTTGACCTGTGGAGTGTTAACCACTACACTACAGACCTACAGGTCATTAGTTTTTTTTTGTATAAGAAATAATTTCTAGTTTTTCTTTTATTATATAAGAATATAAAATTTTTTTTAATTTATTAATTTGATTATAAGCACCCCTTATAAAAATAAATCAAAAATAATATATAAAAAAAAGTGCTTATAATCAAAAGAATATGGTATGCTAAATAACTAATAATAAAAACAATAAAGTAATATAATACTATAAAATAATAATTTAAAAATAATACTATCAATAATCATAACAATAGATATATATCAGAATCTCATAGCAAATATTTTAAACCTCCTAAAAATGAATAACATCAAATAAAATCAATATTAATATATAAATTAACAACTCCTTACCACAAAACAACTGGGTATAAATAGAAGATCACATGACTTAAGAATGATACAACAAGTATAAAATGAATCTAAGGAAATATAACTTCTTTTATTTAAAGCAACTGACAAACACTATCAACTCTTACTTTATTTTTTGAACTTATTTCAAAACTAAAGTTGAAGTAAAACATATTGGCCAGAAATCCAGCTGGTTCAAAAAGATTATCATATAATAATAACAGAATTCAAATATTTAATTTTTTGAATCAACAATTAACATATTTGCAATATGTGATCTGACAAATCAGAAGAATATTCAGAAGTACAAATATATCTTAACAATTGTAAATCAAAGTATTTATATAAGAAATGTGAACAAACATATCAAAGTCATTGATAATATATTTAAAGTCCAATACTTCAAACAAACTGCAGATAACTCTCCAATTGAAAAATACAGAGAATGCAACTTGGACATAAAAGAAAGAATAAATGCATATATCAGGAAAATACAACTAAGGAAGACAATAATACTATCGGTTAAAACAACCAGAAATAGTTCAAAACCTTTCAATAAAATAATAAAAAACCTTTCAAGAATACAAATTTCATTTAACTCAATTAATATATTTATAACTGAAACAATTCAAAACTAGAAAAGAGAAGTAAGATTTATATAGAAATAGAGAAATTTAACAATTAATCAATATCAAGTATATAATGGTTAAATGTACTAGTAATACAAGACCAAAGTTAGCAAGAACTAAAGCAAATCCAAGAAAGGATTTAGGAATAGAAATGCATTAAAATATATACAGATGGATTTATGAAAAAATATAATAACAATTAAGTTAAAATGGGTATAGGAGACATAATTATAAATATAGAAACATTTAAAGAAGCAGAATTCAAAAGCAGATATAAGGGTTTTCCATTATTAACAAAAGCAAAATTAATAGCAATCCTAATCACCATCACACTTATCAATTTCAATATGGAAGCAACAATAATAATCAATAGTCAAAGTGTAATTTATATAATATAATTAGAGATTTCATAGAAATAGAAAATAGCAAAAAAAACAAATACAAAAAACTTTTTTCCACTTATTTCAACTTCATCAAAAAACTTTCTTTTTAAAAAATTTTCTCCTTTTCCTTTCTCCCTCTTGTCAAAAGATGAAACCTTATAGCTGCATAAAGTCTGAGATGTGTTGATACCATATGAGACTGTTACTCAAAGGGGTGGTATTTCAAGAAACTAAAAGAGACATATCTAAAAGGTACTTTCTTTGCTTAGGGAAATGTAAGCAGACCAAGACCTGCACATAGCAGAAGTTAGAGATCAAAGGAAGAAAGTTTTGGAGATGCTTTCTTCTGGTGAAATGTGGCTCTGTGTATGACTGGTTATTACAAGCAAAAAAGTAATTTGTTTCTTTTTTATCTCCTTTCATTTTTCCCCTTTCCCAATTTCTCTCTCTTGCTGCTGAACAGTTTTCCCTTCTCTCTGGAGATTTTCTTTCTAGATCTCTCTCTCTTTTCTATCAAACTATTTCATTAACCCCAAGACAAAGCAGCAACACTATCTTAACCAGATATACTTCTTTGGAGACTAGTTGATAGAAGTTTTTCCAAGAAGTGTGAGCTTCTCCAGAAGGTTCTCATCCCTAACTCCAAAATATCTAATCAAGAAAAGATCTTAGTAACAGCATTTGACTGAGGGTTGGACTTAAATTCCTATCAAATGCCAAGATTTTTCCATCTATAGTCACCATCTAACATATCAAAGCCTGCCAAGTGTGAGAAGAGATATAGGTGTATAGTCAAAGGTGATAACTTAGCAAGCAGAAAAGATCATATATGTAAGGTTTTGCATGGCTAAGTCCTGATTTTGCCTGAAATATTTGATCAGAGGTATGCATTTGGACAAGTGTTTTCTCTAAGAATTCTGTCTTCATCAACATTATCATATATTTAAGAAAACCTTGCATGGGATGGTTTCCTTGTTTTATTTCTCCAATCCCTAATCACTACAAAAAACCACAATCAGTTTACCCTCTCCAAGAATCAGTATAAGAAGATTATGCCTTATTAGGATCAAGGCCCCTAACAAGAAAAAGACTCACAGGCTGTATCATCACAACAAAACTGGTTACTGGGCCCAGTATACTAAAACCTGACTTATCCTATCCAATCACATTTTTTTTCACCACCAATACTTAGCAAGCATACATAAGTGGCTGGAAAAATAATTAATAGCTAGCTTCTATCTGCTTTTTTCTTTTTTCTCCACAAGAGGTTTTTGAGTTCTATGTATTATCTACTGCGATAGGCTACAATTAATCTGCCTAGATAGAGATTGTTAATGTAATAACAGTAAATATTTTTATTTAAATAAAGTCTTGTATTTAATGCTTATTCACAAAAAAAACAAATATATTTATAACAATACTTATTCATGAAAAGATGGAAAAAAGAAAAGCAGCCATCAAATTTAAAAAAGTTAAAGTATATACAGAAGACAAATACAATAATTAAGCAGATATATTAGTAAAAAAAGACAAAAAGCTTGACTATATATATATTATAGGTATCAATTATCAATAGATAAGAGAGATCAGAGACACACTTCAATAGAAGAACAAAAATCTTGATATAGATATCAACAGATTTATGAAGCAATAACAAAACAGCAAATAGATTAGTATATAGGCTATACAAAGAAAATATAAAGTATAATTTAAAGTAGAAGAGAAAAAAATAATAAATTGAAAAAGAACATAGACAAGTTTTTTTCTATCAAAAATAACAAGCTTCCATATTAATCAACAGAATTATAATAACAGAGTATTTAGATATAAACTGCTTAACAATGAGTTGCCTATCAAAAGTAAACTAAATGAAAGAAGATCTAATTTATATAAAAACAAAACATACCCATAATGTAAAAAATAAGAGATCGCAAAACATATCTTTAGCAAATATTATAGAGACAAAGTTAAAACCACATATATTCAAGTATTGAAAGAAAAAATATCCAATAAAATAGAGAAACAAGAAAAAAAAAAATTAAAAAGAAAAACTTATGTATATTATAAACAACTCAGAAAAAACCATCAGATATATAACTAAAGACATTTATGAAAAAGATCTAACCAACTTAATGGAACAAATTAATAGAAGCAAGATCAAAGATATATTAAAAGCAATTACAAACCATATAACAGAAATCTTTGCAAACTTTGAAATTACAAATGCATCAGATTTCAACAATAGAAAGAAAAAGAAAACATAACCAGAAAGGAGAAAAAAAAAAGAAGGCAACAAGTTGATATCCAATTCAAAAATACAATACAATACAAATTACCAGTGGAAAGAATGGAAGAAGCAGAAAAATTGCAAGATAAATCAATAGAGAACTGGTTGAATCAGGAAACAATATAATCAAATTCAATTTTTATCATTCATATAATAACAATACTAATGGGGCTTTGGTATGTTAATATTGATACATGTCAAAAGATAAGTTAATAGCAACAAGCCGATATAGAGTAATTTGATATAGTATAATATGTATCTAGAATAGTAAATCTTGTAACAAGAAATACATATGTAAACTAAATAAAATATATTAAGCAAGTGGCAGCTTACGCCAACCGGCCCGTAACAGAATGTCTACTAGGAGATTAAGGGTTATTCCTTAAGGAGTCACGCCCCATTTGGCTATATGGCCCCTAGATTTGGTAGTGTCCAACCGGCGGCAAACCGGAGCATTCGCTAGGGAGTACATACCTGCATCAATCGGTCCGAGCTGCAGCTGGGGTCAGGTGGTGGTAGGTGAGACGTGATAAGAACCCTAATGACGGTGGCAAGTAACAAAATGCCCTTTGAATAGACCACGCCTGGATTGCGAACCCACCTCCGGGGTGTTAGTTGGTAGCCAGGTTAGAATTAGAGGCGGTGCTAGGGTTAGAATAGCTAATATAGTTAGTCAGACTCTTCATGTAATGATTGTAACTTCAATGCTAAGTTAATAAAGTTCGCATGTAATGCACTTTGCCTCTAAAAAAAAAAAAATTATTAATAAAGTATTAGTAATATATAATATATTGTATATGTTTCTGAAATTTATAGATCCTTAATACAATTGATACAATTATTTGATACAATTAATTGAGTTATTGTTAAAACAATAAATAATTAAGATATAATACAATTATTTTTAAGAAATTTGAGAATTGAGTCAACAGCAAATAATTTATATCACATGTATAGTATATAATACATTTATAAATTTTATAATACAATTATTATTGATATATTAAGAAAATAATATTATTATAATATGTATTAATTATCTTATTAAAAGAATTATTTTAAATTAATTTTAATAACAATAACTATTTTATTAAATTATTTTTTAAAAAATTTATATAAATAATTGAAAATAAAACTATTGGCATTAATTACTTTATATTTTCAAACTAACAAACAAATAAGATAATTTAATAAAACTTTAAAGAAAATATTAAAAATTTATATTATTTATAATTAAAATACTTGAAATAAATATCTATCTATTACTAAATTTGTTTATAACAATTTTAAATAAACTTTAATAAGATTTATACTATTTAAGTTAAATTGTAAATAATATTTAAATATACTTACTAATTACTATTATATAAAAGTATCTAACATAATATATGCTATTACTAAATTTATTAATTATTGAGATAAAATCTTTTTAAGATATTTTCTTGAAAACTTAAAATTCATAAATAAAATATATTAATTTAATATATAAACAACAGAATATAATTTTATTGTTATATATTAATTTGATTTATATATAGTTAATAAAATAAAACCAATAATTCTAAGACTTTTAATATAAGTTTGTTTTGTAAATTAATTTTTATTTACAAGATAATTATTATATTACACAAACAACAAAAATTTTTAAAAAATATTATATTTAATATAATAATAGTAATAACAATAATATAGATTTTATCAATCCTATATAGTTATTAAAATATTTTTTATTATTTAAATCATATTGTTTTGATATTAAGCATAGTTGTTTACAGTAAATGTATTGATATTTTTTGTTATCAATAATACAGATATTATCAGATATTGTTTATAATTTAATTCATATAACATAGACCTGATTAATGGTAACCTCACATTGTTATACTGTATATAAACTTAATAGCAAATAAGTACTTATTTTATTGTTTTTTTTTATATGATATAAACTTATAATGTTTTCTTTAAGGTTCAATTTATTTTTTCAGTTTAACTATTAAATTTGTAAATGAAAAGCAATTAATATTACAAGCTTCCTTTCAATAGTTCAAATAAAAATCTTTTATAACAATAACAAAAATAGAAGATAACTATTTTGAAAGTCAATTTATAAAAATCACATGATAATAATATTGATATATGTATAAGTTTTATAAAAATCTTATAAAGGAATTTGATTTCAACTTTATAAATAAAAATTACCCTTTTCATAAAAATGGATGACTGGGTTTATAACCTAGTAAGGAAGCTGCACAAACAGATTTTGCTTTGATAAAGTGATTATGAGTAACCTAACAATAAAAGTAGGATTTTTTAGAAAAATAAATGACAACTAATTTCTGAAAATCTTGAAATTGACATAATCTACCATTTCATTATCTGTGTTTTCTCTTATGCTTATCAGTGCAGCCTCTCTGCATAGATTATCCAAATCCGCTCCTTTAAAACAAGGTTATAAGACATGTTCGAAAAACAGAATGGTGATATTTTAATGAGAAATATAGTTACCAGAGAATCCCTTAGTATCGTTAATCAAGGACGAAAACTGTTCATCCGACATGGTTATTGGCATTTTTTGAAATATACCTCTTAAAATGGCATCCCTCTGCTATAATTAATTAATTCAGTTATCATATTATTCTAAATTTTTAATTCGAATGACTATATGTGAATATTAACAGACCTTGTCACCTGGTGGCGGAATGTAGACGTGCTGATCTAACCTACCGGGTCTCAGTAACGCAGAATCTAGTATTTCGGGATTGTTCGTTGCTAAAACAAACAAAATTTTACCTTGTATTTCATGTTTATATTTATTTTTTAAAATAAACCTACCCGAAACCACCAAGACATCAACTTCTGGCCTTTCGCCACGTCTCGAGGTAAAAAAACCGTCCATCTCTAGATAAATAATGGTTATCACTATGGGAATTTTATCGGTATTAAATAATACGAGAATGGTTACCGGTCAAAAGACTTGTTATTAGCCGATCCGATGAGTTTTCCGATGTTGTACTAGTTCCTCGTACTGGGGCCAGGACATCAATCTTGCACAATATTGAATAACAATGTCTTAAGAAAATAAATTCGAAGGGCTACAAAAATAAGATAAATTTAAAATAAATAAATGGATACCAACCTGGTCGATAAACAAAACGCAAGGAGAATTGGCTTTTGCTTGGGCAAACACGTTTGCAATGTTTTTCTCTGATTCACCAACAATCTTGGAAATTATTTGTGAACTCTAGATTAAATGTAAGATTAGGGATAAATAAAAGAAAATTTTTTGTCAAAATCCAAAGAAACAAAATTTACCTCCACTAATATGAAATTTATACCAATCTCCGCAGCAATAGCACGACATAGCATTGTCTTTCCAACGCCAGGGGGACCATATATGAGAATTCCACGTGGCGGCAAAATCCCAAAGTCGATAAACTCTTGAGGCATATTAAACGGCTCAACTATGGTTAACTAAAGAACCATGGAACTTTTAAATACACTGAATGGATAATAAAGAATAAAAAGAATAAACTCACTCTTAGGTCCTCAATAATATCATCAATACCAAAAATGTCAGAAAACCTAACATCTGGTGTCTAGTCAAAATGATAAAGTTTCTATTTAAATATTTTCATAAATTGAGAATTATTACTCAAGTAAAGGTACCTTAGTTCGAAATTTGTTAAGATCAGATGGTTTTACGTCTTTCAGGGCTTCCAAAAAATTTTCCAAAGTAACAACTTGTGAGGTACCGACCTATAATAACGATGGTTTAAGAAATTGTATTTCATAACTGATCCACGTAAATTTGTAAATTTGGTTAATTCATACTTCTCGGATAAGTTGAATTGCAACTTTATTACAAAGATGTTGTAAATCAGTAGCAACAAATCCATGCGTTATTTTACTAATTTCATCTAAGATTAGGTCTCTCTGCCTTTCCTCAAATCGCATTTCTACAATTAATAAAAATAATTAAAGGTTCGCATACATTTATATATTTCAACAAATTTAACATACTTTTTGTCATAATTTCCAAAATCTTTTGCCTTTGCTCGGGCTTTTTAATAAGGAGTTCATATGTGCGATCGAGCCTTCCCGGACGACGGAGAGTGTTGTTAACAGCGTGAAGACGATTGGTTAATCCTTTATATATTTATATTTATATTTATACATAAATTATCATATTTAATAAAATCCAGCAAACAAGACCTCATTCATAAATGAATATCTACCAATAACAAAAACTTGTCCTATGATTTTCTCTTCCCTTGTATTTTCATTTATTAAATCAATCAACTTAATAATCGTTGAGTATAAATTTGCCTCAACTCCTTATTACGTTTGAAGAAAAATTTATTTAGGAACCTACTTGATCTTAAAAGCATAGACGATTCTAAATGTTACCTGCACGTAAATTAGCCGAAACATCAACTATCACGTCAATTTCGTCTAATATTATTAACGAAACTCGAAATCTTTGCATTGATTCAAATATGAATTTAATTTCTTTTTCCGCTGCCCCTTCATCTAAAATTGGTGATATTCCAATAAACAAAGTTTATGTGTATAGAACCAAAAAATGAAAGGATAGTCAAGATACCTGTCTTGAAAATATCCGGACAGTTAATAATCACATAAGGAAGTCCCGAGGTTTCTAATAAAAAAACGCAGGATAATTAACTCATTAATCATAGTATTAAATGCAAAGTAAATTTACCAGCAATACACAGGGCAAGCGCAGTTTTTCCGGTCCCAGGTTTTCCCGTTAATATAATGCCTTTGCTTCTTTTTATAAACTTCTTTTGTTGAGATGTGACCACAAAACAATGAATTTGTTCAATAATCTCATCGACGATCTCGTCCAGCCCACCAATTTGCCTAATGACCTTCTTCATCCATTCTGATTTCGTTTGGAATTGAAATTTCTTTCCTGGCACATCAGCTCCTTGATATTTAATCAATTCTTCTGAATTTTCGTCAATCACCTCAATCCTTGATGAGTCCGAAATTTTACAAATCGACATTGATGATGTCTTTGAAAGATTGTCGTTATTCGGGAAAATTTGAATAATTTTAAAAAACTGCATTCCGTTACATCCAAGATGACATATCCAATTGTTTGATGATACTAATGCACCCAAATGAGCTCTCTTGAAGATACTTTCACGAAAACTACAATTAAAATTCAGCGATATATTCGATGGAACGTACATTATGACTCGATCTGCAATTGGCACGTTATTTATCTGGTAGGCATAAACTTTACATTAATAATAAGTCATAAAAAGTTTTCAGGGATTGATAAATCATACCATTTCACCAAGTTTGAATTTAATTGGATATTTCAAGTTCTCTAAATCTCCTGTAATTTCGCAAATGCCCAAGTTACAAGCTAACGATTTCGAAATAACTGCTTGAGTATCAAAATTTCCATTCCCCAAATTTCTTTCATCATCAACGCCTTGCGATTGTGGTTGTAATTCGAGCAAAGAAAATTCCAATTTCTCGGGAAAGATAGGACTTTTGCGAAATAATTCCGAGCATTTTGAATATAATTTTACCAGTGCAAAGGATTTTGATGAGTTGAGTTTTGGAGAGGTAGAAATAGTAATGATTTGATTTGATCGAACATTTTTTTTAAGAGACCATGTACGTGGTAGCCAGATACTTGGTCTTGGAATTCTTAAATATTCTAGGTTCGAAGAGAAATTAGAGTTATTTGTAATGGCAGTGATGATTAACAAGTCTATCCAGAATTACCAGAACTCAAGTCATCGATTATGGCAACAACATGTATATCTGCCATCTTATAAATAAAAAAAAAAAGTTGATTTTTTATATTACACGTGATAGTCAAATTGGATTTAAATTATTTTTTCAAACTATATATTGAATGTTATTGATTAATTAAAAGTTTTTAAAAAATATTATTTATAATTATACGTTCTCATAATATATTAATATAATAAAATATGTGTGTGATACTAAAAATATTTAAAATATATATATGATAAGAGAAATTTTATTTTGTAATAAACAGCGATTTTTTGTTTTTCGAATCAGTTTGAATTTGAGTTCACGAATTAAATTGTAAAAAAAAAAAAAAAGCTTTTTTTTTACTATATTTTATATACGCGAAATATTATTAATCTAAAAATCAATTATTAAATGAAATTATAATAGAAATTTTAATAAATATTAATCTGACATTACGTTAAAACAAATTTAAAAGACGCTCTTAAAAATTAATTGTAAATATATATATACAGTACACAATCGCTAAAATTCTCTACTATAAATAGAAATGAAACTATTTTTCCGAGGCTTTGACCTCTCAAGCTTCTTAACATCCTTAAAAGATAATGAATTTTTGACCACCACCGGCACCAAACCACCGAATCTATAAACAACATTACACTTAACACCACTCTCCCAGAGAAAATTATATAATGTTAACACCACTAACAAGTACAACCCAAAGCTTGCCAATAGATGCCAAATAGAATGTAGTTGTGGATTGAATGGAAGTATAGACTTCTCACCGCCATTAACATAATCACACATATATAGATCAGTCAACCATATGGCGATGGCCAGTGAGTAAATAATCACGCCACGTTCAAATAAATATTTTACTGCAGGATGAGAGGATTTCTTTAGGGAATAAATACGATGCATCAGATAAAGGGAAAGCAGTTCTAAAGAGCCAAAGGACATATGAAAGAAGATGAATTGCATGTCTCCCTTTGCAATGGTTACAGCTAGAGTACACAATATTGCGTGAATGACTTGTGCTATTGGTAGCCAATATCCTTGAGGACCATAAATCGATTCTATTAAAGGATGTACTAGCGTCAATGCGGACCATACCATCGGAACCTGCATTAAAAAAAGGTTATCACTATTAAATTAAGTTGCAAAAGTAATCATTAGATAATCGTGAAAAATACCTCATCAAGAGCCTGCATTTCACTTGTTAAGGTTGCATGAAAAAGTAGACTACCAACTCCAACAACAGAAATCAACCGAAATGCAAGTTTAAAACGAAAGCCCTCACATAAGTTCATTCTTGCACCTGCTTCTCCGAATATTATCATTGCAAGACTTGAGAAGGTGTTCCAAAATCTAGTATTGATTGGGGAAAAAAATCGCCAGAACAGAAAATCTATTGTCAATGATACTTCTAGTTTTCACACGATGCATATTATAACGTACTCGGCGATGTAATGAGAATATTCATAATTGTTTTCACACCAATCTACTGAACTAGTAGTTTGCCAATACCCAATTCTGGACATTATGAGAAGAAAGTTGCTTGCAAAAGATTGTGGCGGAACAAGATTATCTGATCTACGTAATTTAAACTCTGATAGAACTAGTCCCACATATAATCTTGCATCGACCAGTAAATTCTCTTTTTGGTGAGAATAACATTCTGGACAGTTCTCTGCTAACAAAACCGAGTTTTCAGAGAATATGCAAGTAGAACTATGATGTGTTTATTACTGATGGATTGTAATACATCAATAGTAGGTATAAATTCTATTTCCTGCATGATCTTCCGAGAATTTCCTTAAAAAATTAAATCCAACAAAGTTTTTTACGCGTTCTGATTAATTATGTCATATCGAATGCGTATGGAGATCGCTTAAAATTTTTGATTTCAAAACGAAATCAATATCAAATAGCCAATCACATAAGTAGATAGTTTATTTAATACTTATTTGTTATAAAAAGTTTTAAACCTTTTCGGATCTTATTTAATATAAAACATAAAACCATGTTGCCTTACACTATAACTTATTTATTACAACTTATAATGAACTCGTCATTTTAAATCATTTATATATAATTTTTTGGGGGTTTTATAATTTCATATTACACTATACTGTGTATTTTTAAAAATAATTACGAATCAAATACGGCATATTAAATAAGTTAAAAAAATATATCAACTATTTGCATGTAAAAATAAAATTATTTGTAAAAAAAATTAAGAATGCTAATTTAAAATACAATCGACTTTTTCTAAATTAATTTTTACGAATTAATAATTTGTATATATACTGTATATCTATCTAATTCTTTACAGCCATTAATAACACTTTTAATATCAAGTTTTTTAATCAGCTTCTTAGCTCTAACAACTTATATCTTATATAGAAATTGCATGGTATGATTTAAAACCAATCTAATTCAAAAACTTTATAAGCAATAATAATTTAATTAAATAATATCAATATTTTTTAAATAAAACAACAATTTATTAATAATAGAGTGTATTTATCTTATAAAAATATTTTTAATAATCTTTTTTATAAACTTAATTATAAAATTTTTTAAAAATTATTAATAAACTTTTCAAATAATAAAAATTTAAATTCTTATTTGCAAATTTTTTTTTATTCATAATACAAATTCAAATTTTTACAAATAAATTACAAAAAATAAAATAATAATAATTTTTATTCTTTATATAAATTACAATATTTATATTAAAAACTATTTGTTTAAACTTCATATTTAAAATGTTTGTTAAGAATAAATAAATAATTTTTTAGTTTAAATTTTTTAAAAAATTTAACATATTTTTATTTTATAAGTATTTAAAAAATTTTTCTTATAATATAAAATAAATACTATTATAATATAATTCATATTTTCAACTATTATTAAAAAAAAATTTTATTTGAATATATTAAAATTTTAAAAAAATTAGTTATAAATATGTTTTTATTAATTTTTCAATCAAATTTGTTTGAAAATATTTATCATTTAAGAAATAAACATACATGCATATTTAATATTATACATAAATCTATTTTGTTAAAAAATAAACAAAATATCTTTATTAAATCTATAGCTCAATAGTAAAACTTTATAGATTATTAGATAAATATCTAAGGTTCAAATTCATCTAATTACAAAAATTTACTACAAATTTTTCTTAATTAAGCTATATAAAGATAAGACTTTTGATTTTTCTGTTAGTTACAAAATTGCAACAAATCATATAAAAAAAGTTGTATTAAAAAAATTTCTGGTCTAATTCTAATTAAACTTATTGCATGTTATACAACTATTATGTCAAATTTAAATATATAAACTGGACTGTATTCTATCTTAACCAATTCTATTTATCTATATAAATATTAATCCTAATTAATCAAAATTATATAAAAGAAAATAACTAAAATATCTTGGATTAATTATTTCAAAAAATCTATTTTATACATACCAAGCTCTATAATCTGTTAAAAGTTAATGCAATCCAGATTAGTAATCCAATAAAAGATATAGAGTTATTAAGTTAAAATAAAGATTACTAAAAAGATTTTTATTTATAAAACAAAATTTTCTTATTCTTGTTACTAGTAAAGTTATCTAATTGAAAGACCAATAAAATAGGTCACTTCAAAAGTGTAATCTGATTTGTTATTAAGTTATATATAATATAAATAATATTTAATATATTCTTAATATTAATATAAATCAATAAAAAACAACATCTAATACAATTTATTCAAAAAAAAAAAACCAAAAATCATTTATTGTTATCATTAACTTTATTTGTAAAAATAACTAAATTTTTAATTATCATATATTATTTTATTGAATTTTTTAATTATAATATAATATTTATATAAATTTTATATTAATATTAACTACTATTTTTCTTTAAATACTATAAAATATAATATCTTAAAAATTAAATAATAATAATATATATTAGTTTTTTAAATATATTTAATTTAACTATTAACAAGTAAACAATATCAGATTTAATAATAATTATTATATTAATCTTTTAAAAAATATAAATTATTTATAATCCATAAATTTATAATATAATAATAATACTCCATAAGCCATCAGAAAAAGATTTAAAATTCAAACCTATCTGATTATAAAAATTTATTATTTTTATAATTAGTTAATCAACTTTTAATATATATAATATTCAATTAATTGCAAATTATCTATCAAATCAAGTTAAACTATATAAAGATAGAACCTTTGATCTTTTTAATAATTGTAAACTAAAAACATATTAAAACAAAAAAAATTATATAAAACAAGACTTCTAATTTAACTTTCATAAAAGTCTATAATCCTAATTAATATAGTAGACTTTATAGTATTATCTCCTATTCAGGTTGATTAACTTCCTAAATAAAATTATATCCAATTAGTTAATATCCAAAATTGAATTAGTAAACTTTGAAATTTATATAAATTTTATTACTTTATTAGATATTGATATAATTTGAATTGATAACTTATTTGCAAAAAAAAATCAAGTTATAATCCAAAAAGAAGATTACTGAAAAGATTTTTCAACTATCAAATAAAATTAAAATTTTTAATAATATTATTTTGATATCAAATTAGTATTGAATTTATTATAAATTTAATATAATGAATTATAACTTATATATTAAATTTGTTATAAATTAATATCAAATTGATACTATTTTTGATACTTAGTTTGAAATCCTAGATATAATTTCCTTACTCTATATTTACAAATAGAAAATATAATATAAATTAAGATATAAACTTTTTCACAAAATGTAAATTAGTATTCTAATAAAACCAGAATAGATGTATTGGTTATTTAGCAATAGTTAATAGACCGTTTATATAATTGAATATATTTAATTTTCATTAATTAATAAAAACAACATATGTGTTACACTTAGTTCTTAAAAAAAAATTATATAAAAAATTTTTTTACATTATATCTTAAAAAGATTATTATCTTTTAATATAATTTCTAAAAGAAAAATGTTAATTAATTAAAAAAATAATTATATAAAAAACAATATTTTAAAAAAATAAAAATATAGTGTGTTACAAAACTTTTTGGAATTTTATTTATGTGACATAAATATAAATAACTTTTTCAAAACAAAAGTAATTCACATGAAATTTTAAACATATAAACAACATATCCTAACAAATATATATATACTCTTAAAACTTTAATTTATTAATTTTT